CTGCATTGTTCTGAAGAAGGGCCTTAAGGAATAATCGATTTACAGTGCTACATGATGTCCTTCAAAATCCACCAAAGCTATTTTAATTCGTCACATCTTACAATAATGAGGGTATCGTCATGTATTAAGCAAACATCATACAACATAATGTAAAGATAACTCAACCAAGACACATATATCATCTATGAAAGTGTATATGGCATCTTTCTGACGAACCCTGTAAACGTTATTGAGCACATCGGAACTTTCTTCTTGAAGCTCATCTAAATTGTGTCCCACCCTTCCAGATACACTTCCTTCTTAGCCATACCCCAAAAGAAATATCGAAATCAGCTCAGATCATTCGCATGCGTTACATCTGCGATTCCACAGACCTGGGAAATCCTTACAGCAAGTCGGGAAGATTATTGCAAAATATTGGGGTGTCCTGTAAATTCAGATTTTTCTAATGACACCCATGATCAGCTTCCTGATCAAGATCAATGTCACATAGATTCGTGTAACATAAAAACGATCATATCTACTGTCTACAGCTGGCTGCCTGAGATCTTTACTTCTAAAGGCAGAAGACAGTGGCATACCAGAAACAGTCCTGCAGCTTCGAAGAACTGAAAGCAACAATTTCGAAATGTACTCAATAAAACTCCACAAGCCTGCTTCGCATAAGCATAAGCATCTGCATTTGCTTTTTAAGGAAATATTTTGGGGATGCTAATATTTACCTGCAAATTTAAAATAATGTAAAAAGTAATATAAATAATGTAATAAATTATGAGAAATGGAGGATAAACAGCTTCAGTATTAATGTAAAAATGGTTAAAAGTAAGTTGAAATCATTAAAAATAGTCAGATACTTATTACATATTATGTGCATTGAAGTTGATTTTTTTATAATATTTTTAACCATTTACTTAATTAAATTACTTACAACATCTACTTAACTAACTTACCTTGTTGGGTCTTTATACAACTAGTTGTCAATATTAGCGAAGGAAAAATTAATAAGCATTAACGAATTCTATAGCAAGATTGCATTGGCAGAAATATGCTTGAATAGACATGTATGCTTTTATAAATATTCCTTTCTCCTCAGAGCTTTAATAATACCGCTCAGCAAAAGATGCAATTACATCTTGTAAAAATAAACCACCTTAGGAAATACTCAAAGAAACGAAAGGGAAAAAAGACACTCTTTGTTGCTCCATCTCATCCGTTGCTATGGTTTTCGAGAAAAGATGGAAAGGCGAGATATTGCATTAGGAAAGGTGTTTGTTCTATTTTTATCTGTATGATGGCGTAGGAAGTAACAGAGCTTTCGTTGTTTTTACTACATTTATAGGCTTTGTATTCTCCTTACAGCATGTTTTCTGCAAGACACGTGCAGGATAAAGCAAGAAAGTATTCCTGCACGTAGCACATGAAAAATGTGGAACGAGAAATATGCTTAATCTTCACCGCTATAAAATGGAAGTCTGCCCTCACTGGTCAGACGGGTTTTTAAATTCAAATTGACGTAAAAAAATTCTTCGCAAAATTTATGCATTTTCTTAGTCATTTTATAAGGTATTTCTCCCGCCTTCTTAGCGTGCCTTCGTGGTGTAGTGGTCTGCACGCTGAGAGCATATTCCAAAGGTCCGCGGTTCGATTCCCGGTGAAAGCGTTGCTCATTTTTCATCTTGCCTGCTTCCAAAAATACCTAATGCCTCTACAGTTTAAACAATCAGTCCCTTTCAATTAATTTTCTTAATTTCTTATACTGAGGCTTACAGAGCATTTGGACACTTTAAATTCTGCAGAAAAATAATATATAAAAGGATTAAATTAGATTACGTTTTGACCGCATTTTGTAATAATATTCCTGTTCTAATCTTTAAAACTTTAAGCACATAAATTTTACCCCTCAAAAAAACTCTGAATGGAATTAGATTCTAACATCGCACCAGAGATTTTACCAGAGTTTAAGATTTATTACGCTTTTCCTGAGCTCACAGTTTACCAATCGGCTCTTGAACTCACTCTTGCTAACCCTTTCTTTCAACCTTTTTAACTTTATTGTAAGCTTTCTTTGCATTTACGTCACATAAAATTCAACAAATTTACTCGATATTCACCTAATTCCCGATAAGGGTTGCCATGTATTTTTTCTTTCTTTACTTTTTTTTTTTTAGTTCTCAGTTTATCATATCGGTGTTCAGTTTTTTTAGTAAGATGAATTACAAACTTTTTATTTGTTGTCTTTTTAACTTTATTTAATAAACGTCACTTTCTTCGCACTTACACGACATAAAATTTAACAGAAAAAACATAAAATATTTAAAAGGAGCATATCCTTATAATTCCCGATACAAAATAAAGTGTGACCATACATTTGTTACATTATTTTTTTAAATAATGTATGTCGATGCATTATCAAAAATAATGCATAACATTTGGTGGCAACATAATTTTATTTTATAAAGTGACTCAGATAATAAAGTGAGGATCGAGATTAATAGTACCTCTGGGTGCTAAAAATATCAATTTAGCTGTTTTTTAGGAAATTAAAAAAAATTAAGCAGCAATGAAAAAAAAAAAAAAAAAAAAAAAAAAAACAGTTAAAAAGGTGTTAAGACAACCTTTTCTCCGAAAAATTAAAAGTTAAAAATGTTATTTACTGCGTTCTTTTTTTTTTTCTTTTTTTTTTTGTAATTATAGTAGTGATTTAAAAAATTGATTGATGTGATAGTCCAAAATTTAGATGATCATCAAAATTGTTCCTTTATGATAGTTTGGCCCCATATCATAAAAGCAATATGAAAAGCAATAGGAAAAAATATTGTTTTATTCCAGAATAAACAACTTTGTTACAGAAATTATTAATACGCGAGTTTGTTGCGCTGTGCTGCTTAAAATATAACGAAACGGTTCAAACAAGAAAATCGAATTCTAAATAAGAAAAGAAACTATCGCCCTTGATGTTAATTTCGCAGAACGGGCGTTTCATGCTCAAAAAGATTTTAAATTAAATTTGTAGAGATATTAGGTTATTTCGAAGCAGGAGACATGAAAAATGTGCAGTGCCCTCTCCGGGACTCGAACCTCGGACCTATAGATACGCGCTGAGCGTGCTGACCATTACACCACGAAGACATGCTGCGAAGGCGGGAGAAATACCTCATATACTCCCCATTTAATCCCGGATTAGGGGATCCAATCGCCAAATCCTGGTGGTGGAGAATCATCATCCACCACCTTTTTTAATTCGGACGCCACTGTAGAGACATTAGGTTATTTCGAAGCAGGAGATATGAAAAATGTGCAGTACCCTCGCTGGGATTCGAACCTTGGACCTCTCGATACGGGCCGAACGTGCTGACTATTACAACACGGAGGCATGCTAAGAAGGCGGGAGAAATACCTTATAAATTTTGATGTATCAGTTTTTCTGGAAACTTTGGAAAAAAAAAAAAATTACATCAGCAAGATACTATGGTGGCTTTGCAGGAAGACAAAACTGTGTGCCAAGGAAATTTTAAAAAAGATAAAAATTAAAAAAATGTATATATTACTGTTGGACCATCTTGCATGGATGAAAAAAACCTAATACTTTAGCAAAAAAATTAAATAACAAATTTAATTTAATAATTATTGTAGAAGAATATTTCTTGCATAAGATGAGAACTGGGGTATCTCAAATGCGTGATGTCTTTTCAGCAGACCTAGAAATGCGTCTTTTTTCTTCTAAAGAATACTTCCTTTATGCGTTCCAAGAAGGTTGCTATGAATCATATAGGGACTAGAAGTTCTTCAGATTTCAGCATTTATTCGATGATTACTTTCGCACAAGTAGCAACAGAACATTTGTTCTGAATTCTCCATATAGTTACGCATGGACACTATCACTGCATATTGCTCAATAAGCATTTTTATTTGTCTGTGGAACAGTGACTGTTTTATCCATTTCAATAATTTCCGATTCATTGAATTTTTCTTCACGTCTTATTCCGAATGAATAGTTAAGGCTCTCTTATCCAAGCATTGCAATTATTCTATGGCAACTGGACCATTTTATAAATCATTAATGCCGATTATTGATATAAGCAAGGAGGTATATTTTCGAAGGCAATAATGTTTGGCAAACAAAGCACACGCCAGTAGAGTCCAACCCAATACAGTAAAACATCCCGTTAGTAAATATTCACGGATTTTTGCCCGTTATAAGGGAGTGCCTGCTAAAATGAGAGGATGCTAGTCTCCTAAATCTAACGTCTGGGATTCAGGAATTGTTCCTTAGTAAGGAGTGTATGCTAAAACGGAATTTCAACTAATGGAGGTCGATTATGACTGGGTCTGTGTTGATGCCAAACATTAAGCATTTAGACGATAAATATTTCGCCTAACACATTAACTACTTAATATAATTTAAAACAATCGCATAATTATTTTGAAGGTATTTTAAAATCTTCAAAAGATTATTTCCGAGTTTTAATTGCATACATAAAATGCCCAATTATCCCTGTATCAGAATCACGTACATGGTTAAAAATCTAAACACTATCAAACCTGTCATTACTGGACAATTCAATTATTTCTTCAAAAGATTATTTCCGAGTTTTAATTGTATATATAAAATACACAAATATCCTTATATCAGAATCAGGTACATAGTTAAAAATCTAAACACTGTCAAACTGTCATTACTGGACACTCACTGAGATCTAGGATTTTGTCCATTTTGAGGATAAAAAAACTTTATCGTTTCAGGGGCAAAAATCGTTAACGGACACTAATGAAATTAAGCATTAGTCTATTTATCAGGGTTGAAGTTTTGACAGCTAAATGGAAGAATAACGATCTGTACTTCGAGGACCGTCAAGTTCAGAAACTTCCGTTCGTGTGTGTGTATTCTAAAATTTTGTACCCAGTAACTAAGATTTGACTACATTTAATCTGAAAAAAGGCAGTATGCGAAAATTATTTTGAACATGTTTAGAAGATACTATCATACATTTAATACATACCAGGTACTGCTCATCCATGCAATCTATATGGGGTCCTATGACGGTGAAGTACTTCATGCCTTGTGGTGGAGAAGCGTATGGGATATCCACTGTGACCTTGACGTAGTACCGGACGGTACAGGACCGGGACTCGAAGCTACAAGGAAGGGCACTCTCGGGAAGCTGGAACCGGAAGGGGAAGGAGTGGCGTCCCCTCGGCAGGATAGGCATATTACCCTCTAACTTCTCTGAAATAAAGAAGAAATACTGATGAAATATCAACTTTTTGGAAACACGAAAAGCAGTCATTTTATAATAGAAATAAATCAGTGATCAAAAGAAAGAGAATCATGTCAATGTAACATTTAGATTTATCTTAGTTTGACGTAGATTTAAAATTAAATTCTATCGATTTCGAGGGCGATGAAACATAGTTACGGCTTCTTCGGGAGGAATAAAAGACATTGCAAAATAGGATCTCAGATCTTCTTTCTATTACAGGCTAATCCAAGCCCTCTTCCTCTCCTCTCAGCTGTGAGTTTTCTTAAAAGTTTGCATTACATAGAAGCATTTTTTTCAGTCCACCAATTAGAATTACGATGAATGGCTCTTGGTCTTTTATATAGGCTTTCTATTGTCGGATGTTTTCCATCACAAGGTAGCAAGAACTCGAGTTTTTTATAAAGAAGTTTTGTGTTGCTATAAGGAAATAATTAAGCGTATGTATAATTATTACGTCATCGTGGATCTGCCAGAAGCCACAATGCATTTACCATTCCTCTCGCAACTTTATTTCGAAAACCGTGGATATTTTTTTTCATACTTTTTTGAAGCAATTGCCCGTCTAAAGACTGCACAGAATTAAACTCCTCTTATTCAAGTTAAGTGCAGAATTCTCTTTCTCTAAGGTTCAGTTTCGATCTCATGCCAAACAGACTGTGCCTTGTAGTTTGCGTTTGCCTTCTGCAAGGTGCATTTAGCATCCTCTGTAAATTTCAATTAGTTGGCAACGATACTTGTAACTTCGAGGTATTTGTATTTTCAGTTTACAGGAACGAGGGCGGGTTTATACTAATATTCAAATTCATTCGAGAATTCTTCTTGTATCTTATGAAAGAGAAATACATTTTCACGTATTTAATTTCTCTTTCCAGATTCTACACCAGTTTATGATAATATTATACATTATAAACCGCAGTGTAACCGCAGTATGCAGATAATAAGTTCAAAGAGCTTATTTATAGCATATTTTCTTATTTAGTCAAGTACAGCTAAATGCACGGGGGACATTAGCGACGTAAGCTCAGGTCAACTGGTAATGCCCTCTCATATTAACTAACTCTAAAAGATTCTATTTTGTGAGCTTTATTTTAGTCTGCAAAGAAAGGTTGAGGATATGAGCATTTGAAGCTTTCCAAAGGATCTAAGGTTTACCTATTGCGGTAAATCATACAATCCCACCTTACAGCCCCGTTCCAGTATTTATTAAAAATAATGATTTAGGATTTAAAGTGATTAGAATATAACAATTTGAAATTCCCAAATTAAATTGAGAACATTTCTTTTCATGTGATAAAAATAACAGATGAATATAATACGTAACAGATAAACTTAATGAGATAAATATAATTAGTACTGAGAGCAGTGTTATAATGAACTTAACTAATAATACTAAAGAAATGTCCACGGGATTGCTTCAGAATAACATAAAAAAAACATTGTAAGAATTCAGGCATTTGGAAATGAAAAAAACGGAGTGTACAGTAAATAATTTTAATAAACCAATACAATTTTAAAACAATACTTGAAATGGTATGTTGGAGCAAGTTATTACAGATTATAAAATTCATAAATAGAACACCTAGGCAGTAGGAAGAGAGTCGTTTGCATAATATTTTTAAACTTAGGATACTGATGTTTATCCTATTTCGCCAACTTGTAAGCAGTTATCATCAATCAGCTTATTTCCTTGTAAAGAATCCTTGTATCGAATTTCCTTGTATCGAAAAGTCGTTTATGTACAAGCCCAATACAACTTCTTCGAGAACACTGGCACTTACTACTTTTCTGAATCAATTTGAATCTAAAATGTACGACATTTCAGGCACGATTTTATCATGGTTATTTATGCAGATAGTTTACGTCTAAAATGAATTACGCTTTCAAACACCTTTCCTTTACAAGGAAATAAGCTGATTGATGGTAACTGCTTACAAGTTGGCGAAATAGGACAACCGTGTTTATACTTAAAACAATGAACAAAGCAAAGTGACAGCTAACTTAGCGTTGTCTACAGAAGAAAATAGCAATGAATTGGGAAAAACTATGATATTAGAATTCTCAAAGCGTTTGGAAGAACCGCATTGAATTAATGGAACTGATTAAGCGATTGATCACCCTCGTAACTGATAGAATTTCATTCAAAATCTGCGCCAAAGTAAGATTTTCATTTTGGCCTAAATTTAGATAATAACGCACCATCATAGTCTGTAAGAAGAGCTGCGTTATTTCTATTCAATACAGGGGTTGGACAAAAATATGGAGACACCGAAATAAAAACATATTGTTGTGACTAATACGTGTAGGAAAACCGTTGGCATTTAAAACTGCTTGGCAGTCTTCTCCGAATAGATAAATAGAAGTCTTAAATGCTTTGCAAGAGAATCTTGTACCACTCTTCTCGTAAAACTTCAGCAAGTTCAGTTAACGATGATGGTGGTGGATAGCGCTCATGCAGATTTTTCTCCAAAATAGCCCCGAAGGCTTAATAACATTGATATTTGGTGATTATGGTGGCCATGGTAGATGTGAAAGTTCACCCTCATGCTCAGAAAACCAGTCTCCTGGACGATGTTGAGCTGAGTGAGCAGGAGCTCTGTCCTCTTAAAATAAGTCATCATCATTGGGAAACATAATTTGTACCTCGGAATAGACGTGATCAGCCAAAATGGTCACATAATCCTTGGCAGTTGTGACCTTGAACAGTAATCAAGGGTTTCATGAGTTTCACGATATGGCTGTCCAAACCCTTGAACTCGCTCTTTTTTTTGCTGCCGAGAGTGAAACGAAGTTCACACTCGGCAGCAAAAAATCTGTATCATACGCTTGGGAAGGAGTTCGCCAGACGTAAACTCGCCCAGGAGTCGAAAACAGTATGAAGGAAGACTCATCCGACCACAGGACTGTCTTTTATTGCTCTACAGTCCAAGTTTTATAACTTTGGCACCTTTTTCTTCTCTTACAGGCATTTTAGGTAGCTTACATAGCTAGTTTCATGCATAGTATAAATTCGAAGTCAACTTTTATTTAAATATCTCCAATGATGTCATTCTTCTTCATAAAGAGATAGCCTTTGTGTGCTTTACCACGACTAAATACTTCTAGACGGTCCAAATCTATTAAGCTAGTGAGTCAAAAGTTTTTAATTATTTAATATAAGTATGTTTGGCGACAAATACGTCCCGTATTTAATTTTCGAAAGATAATACCACAAGGGATGCCCATTGATGATTTATTTGCTCTGAAACATTTCATTTTTATGACTTCATCTGTGGCATAGAAAGTTACAAAGTGAATAATAGAAGGCGGTTAATTAAGAAACATTTGCTACACGAATTTGAAAGAGTTATAGCACTATGGAAGAAGTAAGGAATAGTCAAGTGAAAGAAAAACGTTTCTTGTAACATAACACTGCAAATAAATAGTTAAAGAACTTCACTTAGATACTTGAATTTCTAATATCAGCTAAACTCACGAAATGGAATTTGTTCATGGCAAACTACATAAGGACTATCTATATAAAGAAAGGGTTATTTTTGTGAAGAACATGTTGAGGGAAACTTGCTCGTATTCGTGTTATAAGTAGAGAAAACCACGAAACCATCCATATACAGATTTTGTTCGCCAGAACAGGAATCCAAATCGAACTATCCCTGTTCAGTCGTCTTATCCACTCGGTCCTTGGTCGTTTCTATAAGCCGTAGCTTCTCATAACATTTCTGTATTCCTAAAGACACAGAAGGCAGTAAATGAACCCAAGCCAGAAGCGGTTACCAAACGTGAGTGATTCGAACATAAGATGATGCTTTCTGGCTTGTAGAGTTTTTAAGAGATTATCCATTGCAATTTCACTGCAAACGGTGCATTATGTAGAAATAAAGAGGATACATGTCATTTTGAAGCCGAAGTACTTTACAGTGGAACAGAAAACGCGCTTTCAAACAGCAATTTAATGCTGAATTTCTGACTGTTTGCACCACTCACAGGAAAAACTCCAGGAACTTCGCGAAATCGAAATGATGCCACATCCATCATATAGTCTGGAGATTTCATCATCGCAATATTTTTTATTCCGATCCCTGGATTGCCTCTTCACTGGAGGTTCGCTCCTTCACGAGCAACGCGAAGGAGGGGGAGGCTGTGGTAAAAACATTCTTCGCAACCCAAAGACAAAAACTTGGATGAGTGGCGTCGATGATCTAGCTCAGTGGTGCGCAAACATTTTTCGACTGCGACCCCTTTTGTAGAGAGAAAATTTTTGGCGACCCCTAGAGATAAATGTTCACAAATACGATGTATATTTCGCGCATTTCTTTCGTTTCAATCGAAAACATCATCATATCTGACTCATATTAATTTTATTAATAATTTTAAGAAAATACTTTTTTTATAACACAAAAATCAGTAAATTGCCCTTTAATGAGATGTATGTGGCTGCAAGTTTCTAATTATCTCATCGATGTTTGGATGTATGTTGCTAATTGCAATTCGCATATCATCTTCAGGGTTTAAACGCGAGCGGTATTTAGTTTTTATTGAAACTAGTTTGCTAAATCCAGTTTCACATAAATACGTTGATGCAAATTGTATTAACACTCTGATGGCATTCTTGCATAAAACGGGATATTGTTTTTCCACGGATAGCCAAAATTTTTGGCAAGGCTGAGTCTTAAATTGATTTCGAAGAGTATAATCACTAATTAGATCTATCAATTGCTCTTTCTCACTAATTTGAAGAGTTGAACTGCATATGTCAAAGGAAAATGGGATCACGAATCCAACCAAGATCGTTTTCAGGAAAATCCTCGAATCTTCTCGAAAAATTTTCCTTTAACTTTTCAATGTGATTGGAAATGATGTTTTTAAATGTAAATATATCTATATTATTTTCCTTGATAAAATCGTTAAAGCAAGGGAACATGTCGGTGTTGTTTTTTTATTCAGTTCAGTTTGCCAGAGACTAAGCTTA